CATTTATCGCATGCACCAACGGGCCGTATTATTGAGTATTATTTGCATAGGGAGATGCGGGCGCCGTATCAAAAATATCTGATCTCATCACCACAGAGTCACTTGGGGATAGAGATAGAAGTGGGTCTCAAGCGACCACCCGGAATTTTGATATGATAGGTTTCAAAGACCAAAAATTAAATTTAAAGAAAAAATAAAACAGACAATGAAATTTAAAAAAAATAAAGGAATAAAAAGGCAATTAAATCTTAAAAAATATTTATATATTATTTATAGGATTTAACTGATTTGATTTATAATTTATTTAATTTAATTGATCCAATTTTAATTTATTTTATTTTAATCGTTATTTGGTTAAAAAAAAAATTAATTAGAGTTGAATTGTGATCAGAAATGAAAAATAAATTCACAAAAAAAATCGAGAATAAATTTTGATTGACGTTAATTAGAAAGTTCAAATTTTCATCTTTGAAGTATCAACGATTCGTTTGTATTTCATATATTTGAGATTTATTATAGCTTCAGATCTTATCACACAGTATAGGTGCTTTTAGCACTTTCATTATGCATTTTCACAAAATCACCGTCATCGCCTGTAAAAGGCCTAAATTGCGTTGCGATTAATCTGGCTATTGAAACTGGCATATTTTAGTGAGCTGCTAGTGAATGAAGTAAGGAAGCAATATTTTTTTTCCATAATTCGTCATAATATTCTTTGTTTAACTCTTTGTTGAACGTTTGTTTTCTCAAATTATATTCTTTTGGCATTCTAAAATTTTGATTATACAAAAAATAGATAAAATTTACTACTTTTTACTATTTTGAGTGAAGCAATATCTCAATTCGTCCACTCAATTCACTGTATGATTTTCCCTTCAGATATTTCTTAATGAAATAAATAATCGTTTGATATGTAATAATTTATAAACGTAAAATGTAAAAAATTAAAAACTAAAATTTTGAAAAAAAATGAAATATTTTCACAGAATCATGACCCTTTTTTCTAGGATTTAAAAATTTGTGGGGCGCTGTAGAAATTTTTTAAATAAACCGCAGGTTCTGCCTAAAATTAAATCGATGACCATAGTTGGTTAGCTTTGTTTTTCAAGCAGTTTCTTAAGCCTATGACAAGATTTGTTGCAAAAAGATTTGTTGAAAATAATAATGAGAAGACAATTTAAGCATTCCATAAAATTCAATTTTTTTTAAATTAAAATTAGATATCAAATTAGATATTTATTTCACCAAATAGCGTAGATCATTAACGTATATCTCTTAATAATTTTTCAGTGAAGATAAATTCTACAGTCCGTATTAAAGATATTTAGAATTTCACTAATTTAGAAACATTTAGAAATCTAAGAGTTGGCAAAACTTATTTCATGACTTCATGGCTCTTTGAATAAATGGTTAGCATTCATTATTTCTGGTTCTTTTTACGCAATTAGAAAATAAAAAAGGTTCCATCAAAAAAATTTTACTAATGTATAAATGACTGATTCGTTTAAAAATCGTAAAAAACTTGAAAAATTTTATTAATTAACATTTCTCTCTACAAAAATTGAGTTTTTTTAAAAAATTCGAAATTTATCGAAGTCAGTGTAAAACCACTCACTATTTTTATTCTGATTAGCTCCGCTAACAACATTAACATTTAGCATTTGTATTTCATACAGTTGAGATTTATTACAACTTCAGATCTTATCACACAGTATAGCTTTTAAAAATGTTCGCTATGAGGATGATCTCTATAATTTTCTGATGGAACTTCCATTCATAAAAATTTTGGTAAGATTTTAAAAATCTAGTTAGAAAATAATTGCCGAGTTAAGATTTAAAATAACAATAATTGCAAAAGAATGATTTTTGCAGAAATTGTCTTGGAATCAAATACTCATAATAACAGGAATGGATTTCGTGAATTTGAGCATTAAATTTTACGTTTAAAAAACTCATAACTTGTTCGATATCGTTTCCTTTTAAGCTATAACAGTGGATCTTCCCCTTTATTCATTAAATCTTTGGATTATCCTTGCAGTGAGATCGTAAAATATTTCCAAAATTGCTTAAAATAACAATATATCACAACAAAAGCACAAAAGAATAAAAAAAAGATAAAAAATAAAAAAATTTAAATCGAATGATTCAAATCGAAAGTTACAAGGTTATTTCTCATTTTTGAAATATTGAAAATATTAATCCATCGACAAATAAAGATTTACAAAAAATTTCTCCCAATATTTTAAAACCATATACTATTGTTCATACAATATACTGCTGTTCATTAAATCACAAATTATAAATGGATAAGTGACACTGGCAAAATTTTAAAATAAAGGGTAACGGAGAAAGTGAAAACGATGAATCAGAAATTTTACCTTAAGAATCCCATAAAATAATCATTCTTCTCAAATCTTAAATTTTGAAATTAGACAGAAAAATAGAAAAAGATACTTTTAACACTTCGCATACTTAATCACTTCATCGTATTACTCTTAAATCATTCTCTTGTTGTTCTTCGAATTTTCCTTACAAGATTTTCATAAATTAATTAAAAATTTTCCGCTTTTTTCACTGTTTTTTCACTATTGAAAAAATGAAAAAGTAAACAATGAATAAAGAACTAATTCAGATAGCAAAAGAATCCACAAGTAGTGGAAGAAAAGAGCAATAATCCGATCAAATTGGTGGAAATGTTAAGAATTGAAATTTTCTCATTTTCTTACTATCCGCTTATTGTTAGAAACAAATTAAAAACTATAAAATAATTATTATTGATGCGAATATATATATATATATATATATATATATATATAAAACAAAATATATTGAAGTCAATTAAGCAAGAAAGATAATCCACCTTAAAGAAGATAGGATAAGAAGATAAAAAAAGAATGATTGAAATGAGTGATTGAAATGAACGCCATTGATAACAACTCGCCTACGTTTGCTCATCATCCATCCATCGTATTCGGATTCGGAATCTGGGATAAGTTCTTGATTTTGTAGCGATTCATCTGATCTAGTTAGCTCATTAGTTAATAAATATTTCCGTTCGCTGAATTCATCACTGCTTTCGATACTGTTTTTGTTAAAATTAGTTTCTTCTTGAAGAGTTTCGAGATCACTTATCACTCCATCAGTGTGTTCATAATATTCACCATTTATTGGCAAATTTTCTGGTTTCCCTTTCCTTATAACTTTTGGATATTCATTTTTGGTCCCTGCTGTCAAATAATCATCTAAAATTGCAATTTTTTGATATTACAAGGTTTTTCTTCAGAAAAATTGTTATAATTCTACGGGGCACCAAAGGAAGTGTCCAGCAAGGAAGATCCAAATAGACGACCTGGATGATATATTGTGTTTTTTCGACAGCTGTCGTCACTACCTTGCTATTAAAACTTATCGGTTTGGAATAATTCTTAAAAAAAAAAACCCGAATTGGGTTCAAGTGGTTGGTCCTGTGAATAATCTTCGTAAGAATCCCATGCAACATTGTTATATTCGTCTTCCATTTCTCTTGTTGGTTCCTTTTTATTGTATAAATCTGGAATATATTTAATTACTCTTTTTACTTGCTTCTTATTAGTATTATAAATTGTAAACAGCGTATATTTCAAAAATTGCGCCTTCCTTTTTTTGGGTAACCAAATTTCACTTTTAAAGTTTTCATGGATTATTAGACAAAACAATCGACTTTTATTTTTTTGTTTTTGAGTTATTTCTTCATAATTTCTAAACTAGAAAACATAAATGCATTGAAAAAATCAATTATTAGTTTTTTTAATCTAACAGAATCTCCATTTCTGGTTTGGCTGGCTACTAAATAGAATTACAAATGGGTCTCCCAGCATCGAATTTCACTTTTAATAAGTTCATTTGCGCCAAATAACCGAAATCGAACCCATCTTGAGTCGAATTAACATATTACTTTCCTGTCCACTCTCCTCCTCACCACTTCCCCACCCCCCTCCTATCCAGTTAATAATTTTAATGTATTGATCCACCCAATAAAAGGATAAGACAAAATAGATTAATTTTCATTTTTGAAGTTTGAAAGTTATATTTCTTCAATATCTCCTCTTGTTAAAATATTTTTTAAAGCACCAGCATTTTCTCGTCAGTGAAAAGTAAATAACTATTCTCATTCAAAAATTATTGATGATAGGTGAAAGTTTAAAATTTTAAAATAATAAATAACAAATAATTTTAATACAGTGACGGATTTTTTAAAGGCGACTATTTATATTGAAAAATAATCAATGATTGTCCAGAAATTACTTCTTTTTAGAGAAAAATTGGAATTGTCAAAAATATCAAAAACATCAAAAATCAGGAAATGGTAATGGAAGTTTTCAAAGTGATGTGAATAAGTATATAAAGAAAAATGAAATTTTTTTAATAAGTATATAAAGAAAAATTTTTTTAAATAATTTATTTTCAACCAGATAGTTTATAAATTTATTTATAAACTCCACGATATAGTTTAGATCAGAGAATAAATCGTGCCACTTCAATATAAAATAATTTGTGTATTACTCCGGAAAAAATTTACTCCTCTTCTCTTATCCTCTTTCTTACCAATAATTACTAATTGCTATCCTTTAATAAACTATTTAGTTGTTATAGAAATTTCATCAAGAAACTTAATTGAACTAGTGCATTAAGCATTATGAGATAAAAACGGAAATCTTGACAGTCTAACCCAACTCAACGGGATCGAAAGGAGTTGATGGAACTCGAAGAAACGATTGGCAAGTTAGATGCTTGTTATGCTCTTTTTAAAATTTTCTATAAATTTTAAATAAATTTATTATAACCATTTATGAATTAATTGAAATTAATTCAGCGTAAAAATTTTCCTTAACAGATACCGACGAGGAATAAAAACAATACTTTCTGTGGGACATGGGAGAGGGAGGGAAATTCGATTGAAAAGAATGTTTCTTTTTTGTAGGAGCCTTACGCAAAAAAAGCTTCGGGACATCTGTTTTAAATTATTCAAGGCGAAAAAGCAAGAAAGTTAGATTAAATGAATAAATGGTTAGCTCTATGCCACTTGGCGATAAAAATGGCTTATACAAATTTTTTGTTCTCTTTTCGAGGACGAGAAGTCGAATTTTCTTTCGTTTCTCAAGACAGTCTAATCTAAAACACCGCCTATTCGATCCTTTATAATTGACTAAATAAACGAAGGTAATCCATTTAAAATCACATCATAATATTGTGCCAAAAAAGCACTATAAAAGTATAAGAAGATCACAAAAATGATTTAATGATTTAAAATTTTAGATTAAAATGGTTTCTATTAATTTCGTTACTAGATATGGCATCGGATCGAGAGGCTTAGAAAGTCTAGTTGAGTTGGCGTAACTCTCGACTATGCGAGCTATTAGAAGAACTGCTAATTTAACTTACGAGATTCTCTAGTTTCATCGGCCATCGACGAAGTTGTCGTAGTTTGCATAACTGGAATTTTTATTTTTATCTTAATAATCTTTTCTGATCTATAGAAAAGAATTATTCTTATTAAGGTTCACATACGTTAGAACATAGTATAATGTAATGGCAACTTTTGAGTTTCAGGACTGAATAAAATCGTTTAAAATCATATTAAAGAAAAAATTTCGAGAAAACCTGAATATTGACATCGGTCACCATGGAATAAATCTAATAAACAAAGGCATGTATGCACTGTTGGATTATCCACTAAATATGCACAGAAACCTCCATTTAAGCAATGAATTCGACAGTCTGATTGAGGATCGACAAAAGCTTTACGCTGACTTTGAACTAACGGAACAATATAGAAAAACAATATCAATGGATGCATCTGAAATTGATTAAATTCATCGACTAATTGAAATGTTGAAGCACCATTCAAATATCGGATTTCGTATCCATATTTACACAAATATAAATATACGCATAATTTGGCCATAAACATGATTAGACTTAATAAACTGAGAAGGTACGATTTACAACGATAGAATTTTAATATTGGATTTGAAACTGGTCACATTATTTAACAATAAATTATCAGTTTTAGATTGGAATTCTTACCCTACTCACCATTGGTTTGGCTCGTCCCAGTGACAACTGGCGAATAGAAATAGGCCTTTTCGCCAGAGAGCCATGTGAAAATGGATGCGTTCATAACACCACTCTTGGCCTACTAATAAAAGAAAATAAATAAAATATTCTTTCACACTTAGAACGAATGATAACGATGAAGAAAAAAATTAAAATCCACGAGTTTATAATCAAATTTTTCAATAATTCAGTACAAAAATCGAATGATATTTTAATAGAAATAAATAAATATTCGTAAAGTTCTATTTTACCTAAATATTAAAAAAATAAAATACAAAAAATGAATATAAGCGAGAGAAACAAAAACATTAAATAAATAAAAGTTAAATAAAAATAAATAAAAATAAAATATTATGTAAAATATTAAATAAAAGTTTTAACAAAAAAATTACGATTTTTGACGAAGAAAGATAAAGCGATGTTTATGGCAAATGCCATTCAATCTGCTGTGCTTTTTGAATGGTGATAATTGATTAATAAATGTTATATAAATATATGAAAAAAAGATAATCAATTTTGGATAATAAATCTTATGATTGTTATATATAAATAACAGATTAAAAAAAAATTTCTTTTTTCTCTTTGCTTTTTTTTTTCTTTCAAGCTTTCTATTTTGATAAGTTCATGAAATATCAAAATCTACCTACGGCGAGATCTTGGCCATAGTTGTGCCAGGATTTTTATATATGTTTGAAGCCAGGCAATAACAATCCACATCCCACTCAAATATCATGCGGATATCGCTTACTTGAAGCTTTCCTAATTCTTAATCCAGAACAATGACTGATTCATATGTTCGAATAAGAGCTACTGGCAGTGAGTAACTCAAGTAGAAATGGATCATGACTACCATATTCGAAAAGACACGACCAGCTCTAATCGCATGGGATTCTTTTAATGACCGATCAGTCTACGCTCGTTTTAAAGGTAAGTTTTGCAACATCTCAATCACTAATGTTATGGTTTCATTGCCTATGCTTTGAGTGGATAATATGTATAAGAATAAATTCTACACCGAGTTTAATATGCTGGCAGTATCTCATCTAAAAAGCGACCTAATTTTGACCGAGAGACCGGAATGCACGCATAGCCTGTGAGAATATCTCTTTATCTTCTGTGGCCCGCAAATAAGGAAAAAATCGATATGGGAATGATTTTACTTTTAATATGGAGATAGGAGCTCCAGTTGGTGATCATCGAAAACTGTCGGCGAGTGGAATGGTCTGAGATAAGGATATAAATCCTGTTAAGACTATCAAAGATTGTCTCATACAACAGAGATTTCCTTGAATCTAATCTTAATGGGACGATGGGCCATCCAGCATCCCAAACATGACTGGAACACATTTAGAGCAGTACGATTGCAACTGCCAACCACCAACCGAGCACGAGACAATCTCTATAATTCACAAATCTAAGCCTAACAAAACCGCTGGAAATGGACTGCTAGGTAAAATCTTCAAATGTTACCCTTCACACTTGCAGAGATATTCATTGGTGTGGGAGAACAAATGCCACTAATTTCGAAGGTAAAAAGAATTCATTGCGACAATTATTGAGCAATCATTTTATTAGATGTTTCTAGGAAGGTTTTTGCGCTTCTTCTACTGAATAAATTCATGCATGCGTGATGCGTTATAAACCGAATTTAAGCTTTCCTGATCAAATTTCCATTCGCTGGTGAAAACTGGCATTTTAAGTGCCGATAATACTGGTACTTTTTATCGATTTTATTGATTTTGCTATTGCTTTTGATTCGATCAACCGCTGATAAACACAAGGAACTGAAGACGGTAGAGCACAAGTCATATAAGTCAAAGCAATTGTGTACCAGAGAATTGTGTTCGTCTTATCAAACACTTTATAGGCGTAAGGCAGCACTTTATAGGCAGGTGTATATGTGTGTAGGTGTTTGTGCAAGGGGAAATAACATACGTTTTTGAAATATGTGCCTTTTTGCATCAAGGCTGCTCTCTCTCCTTTTATAATTATCAAAAGACATCATCAGCGTATTCAAGTTACGCCACAGGAAAAGTTATGGACATCGCTTGCTGGCACTTAGGAAGCGTATAAATATTAGTCCAGAACTTAATATCACGAAGCTTGAATTTGCTGATGATGTTGTCTTTTTCGATAATGAACACAAGAAACTTTAACAGACTCTAGACCATTATAGCAGTGAAAATTGGTCATCAAACCAATAAATAAGATGAACGCCTTAAATACCATGCTAATAATATCGCAATTAAATAAATGATCTAGAGTCTGTTAAAGTCGATGAATTGTTGAATTTTAGCTATCTTGGGTCCACTCACCTAATGACGAAGCGATGAAAATTTAGCTTGGATAGTTGCAACCAGAAGTACCTTTAATCTGGATCTCTAGAATCACACTGAAATCGCCCTCAGAACAAAGGATCGTATCTATTTAGACCGCATCTATACGCATAGCTGCAGAATTTGGCCAGTGAGAGCGGAAGATATCAGGAAGTCATCTTTGATTCTGCTTTTGACCATTATTGCCTAGGATACAACATATATACCCTGCTAGAAGAACGAAGTTTCACATATTTGCTTCCATATGTATTAAGAATATGAAAAAATTACAAAAAGACCATTCTCGTCATATACTCAATTTATTTGCTAAATCGTCTGGTAGATAGTAGCAAAAGCATAAACAATGAAGATGCGAGGATTTTGAAGGATTTTGAACCAATAGGCAATATACAACCAATGTCCATCAATATATCGCCTTAGCCACTGGAGAAAAGAGTAACTTCAATTCTTTATTTATTCTCAAGATAAGCATCGGATTGTGCGGCTTAGAGGCATCTTTCTCTCGTCATCAGTGGAGCGAGCCAAAGTAACAGTGGCGTGAACTACTAGAAGATAAATGTGTACACAATAAATAATGCCTTACGGTTTAATAAAAGCAAGTGGTCAACCTTTTCTGGTTTGCTGGCTGGTACACTTGCTTTTCATCACGATACCACTATATATACGTTCGCTTTGCGATTTAATATTTTAATAATATTCGAACTTTTTTATGATTGCATATTGCCAAATTATGCATGTTTTTGTTCCTTTTTCTTTTGGTCAGTGAGAATGCAAGTTTAATCGTTGGGTCGGTCCTTAATCCGTCACATAATAAATTTGATTATAGAGAAAAGTGGCATTGGATCAAGCCAATATTAAAATGGACCAACAGAAATTTCACATCGCATGTGTAAAAGAGTAGGCATACTGGCAAACGATTTACTGCTTTTTTATTGCTTCAAATGAATTTCACAGCGGTCTTAAAACACATGTCAATCATTACTACTATTAAGGCTTTTTGGCAATGAGATTTATGGATTTCTCTCAAATGTTGTCAGATAAATTCTTCCCTTCCGACATAGCGTACCATTACTAGTTTAGTTGGTTCTATTCTCGAGCCATTACTTAACTGGGCACTTTTTATGATGGAGAATTACCATGCGTTATAATCCTAGCGTTATGATTGGTAGCGAGTGCTTCTTGCTCATTTCACCAAGATATCTTCAGATTCTTCCTCCAGCAGGAGTAAACCTATCATTAATAAATCTCAGTAATGCTGAGGGTTCACGCATTTCTTTTTCCTAATTGCTCCCTGACAAAAAATTCTTATTCATCATCGTGCTAATTAATGGAGATAACCAGAAATGATGAATTTTTTACTCACATTATAAATATTTATATTAATAATGAATCCAAAATTCCGACAAGAGGAAACTAAACACGCTACTCGGCCTCTCATAAAATACTAGAAAAAATTGAATGGTGGAATAATAAAAATATAATCATATCAATAAATATCTTTTTTTAAATAAAATAATCCGATTAGAACACATTTACTGGAGAATATTTGGTAAAGAGTGCTTTAGCAAAAAAAATACTCTTATAGACCGAATGGAGGTCGAAAGAAAAAATTTTTCAAAACTTTCTTATAGAATTTTGACTTTATGTATAATTTTGTCCTTGCTGCTTACTATTTTCTATTTAGTGAAGGTCGAAGTCAACTTTTAAATTACTTTAATGGACATTTGATTAAAAATAAGGCTTATGCTAATTCTTCGTCAAAAAAACTACTTTTAAAGCAATTGGAGAGCTTTTGTTCGCTCTTCCGTACTATTCTTCACTAATAGTGATTTTTTACTTTCCGAAGGTCGCACTTAACCTTTAAATTACTTGTGAACTTTAACTGATGCTTGGATTAAACAATAAGATGGTGCTCCCTGGATTAAGTTGATTTTTTTAAGATGGACTTGTACGCACATAATGGCTCAGTGGGTTGTTGATTTGGAATGCCGATGTTGAGTTTCTACTCTCGGCGGGAACAAACTTGTCCAAAAACCCGGAAACCCGGATAATGTCGGCGACTCGGTCTCTTCTACCGCCAAGGAACCCCTGACATATTTGGCTAGTCCGACAAGCGGAGCGAGTCCAGCCAATGGTGAGGTCTTTTAAAAAACAAGTCTTTATGCATTTTTTATTTTAAGTAAGCCAATTTTAAAAAATATGGTATTGAGAGGAGCTGTTCTTAATGTAATATATAAGGTGATGCGATTTAATTTGATTGCTAAATATCGAAAGTTTTCTCAGAGACATAATTATTTTCTTTTTTATCGAAAATATTTTTTCGTTATTCATTACAATTTTTCCACGTCTTACTAAGATTAACATTTTTTATGTCAAATAGCAATTCTTAAATCATTTACACCCACCTTTTTATTTGAATATGCTAGATTATAGAACTAACAAATAAAAATCAAACCTTAGATGGATGTTTCCATTCTCCTTCTTTTGAAAGATCGCTCCATTATTGACTAAGATGGTTGTGTTTGCTATAAGTATAACGCATTTCTAAGCCGCCCGGCCCAATGTCATCATACCTGCAAGTAACAGCGGCTACTTATTTTTAAGCCGCCTAAGCCTATATATCGATGGGCTGCTCACACGTTCAAAACCTCAATTCTAGCTATATCAATTCCAATTTTAAATGATGCCATCTCCTCGCTTTTGATGTCATCGATCAGTTTTTAGCAGAACGAGGTTTGCGTGAATTCCTGTGATGACGACGAACGACACAGTATAATGGTCAAATACTCGGAAATTTTCAGTCTTATTATTCAGTCATAAATTTTAACAATTTATTCGCTATATTATTCAATTACATTATTCAATGATAGGTCGTCAGCACCACTCGTTTTTTTTGTTGCAATTTGCTCGGACTTTGCAACAAATAAGATTGCAAGTCACTCTTGCAAATTGGTATTTACAGTTTCATTTATTTAACATTATAGATTTAAAAATCATAAATAATTCTGCTGCAAGTTAAGCCAAATTATGGAAAAAAACATAAAATTTCGAAGATTGGAAAAATTTATCTATAATGTTATGTAAAACATTCCACTAGTTCGATTGCAGTCAAATTTAA